TTTTTTTTTTTTTTTTTTTTTCTTCATTAAGCTTGAAGGTGTCACTTTTAGAGTCGCCATAAATTCTGGGTCAGATTTTTGTTAACGTTGAATAATCCTTCCACAGCTCTGACAGCGCACTAATCAGTAAATCTTCTTTAATGTTCGGACAGCCTCTCTGATCAAGACCAAATGCCAGATGGAGGCGTCGCCCACATCCCGCAAGATCGGTACCTACAAGCCGCAGTGTGACGAGCAGGGCCACTACCTGCCCATGCAGTGCTGGAGCGGCACCGGATACTGCTGGTGTGTGGACGAGTTTGGCAACCCCATCCAGGGCAGCCAGATCCGCGGCCGCCCCGACTGCCGCAGAGGTACCAGACACACATAAGAAAAAAATTCTTTGAATCTGAAGAATATCATGAACTAATCGACTTTTACTTTTAAATTTTAGGTGCAGTTTAGGTGCAGCAGCAGCAGCACGACCCAGCCTCATGCAGACAACTTATCTTGAGGATGTGAGTGATTCAGACTCTTTGTTTTTCTTCTTTTTACCAAAACCACCACATTTATTTTGGTTGTGATGAATCTTTTTTTTTTTTCAGGAAAAAAACTTATCGGATGAAGCAGACCACACAGCAAGTCATTTCTTCTTCCTGCCCAATGTCTGGAGACGTGTGGAATTGATTAAATTAAATTTGATGCTGATCGCCGAACTTTGGCACTTTTAACTTTTAATGCACTTAGATGTAATCAGTTCATCTTCTTCCTGCTAGCTGCTTCAAATCCAATCAGAGGAGGCTTGATGCACATCTGCTTTTAATGTGGTTAATTTGGGTCTTTTTTATTATTACTGATTTAATTTGGGTGTTTTCATTTAAATAGCATTCAGTACAATAAACTATGTGTTTCATGTGTTTAAATGGTCAGTTCATCTTAATTAGAAACAAACTGGATGTGTTTCCAGTTACACCTGTCTGGATTTGAGTGTTTTTGTTTTTTGGTCAGTTCAACATGAAGGGAAGTTAAAATAATAAAAAGCTTATTTAGGAATAGAAATCAGCTGTAGCTGTTCACATAATGGGTTATTTAGATTAAAGGGGATTCTACTTCTGAGTATAGTTCTCATATTTGGATGAACTGACCTTTATTTTTTTAAAGGATGTAGACATGAGAGTAAGAGACTCTTCTATCAATTTGTATGTACGAAGAAGGTAAAATAAAGTATTCTCTACAACACCTGACACTGTTCACATATGTCCTGTTTGCAGATGAAAAAATTATTTCAAACTGATGCATACATGTCAACGTGTACGGATTGGCCGTAAGTTATAAGGATTTTACGTCATTTTGCAGGTATACGGATGTAAAGAACAATCTCACGGATTTTTTCAAGTCTTACAGATTGTTTTGAAAACCTCATTTTCAAATTTAACCAACGTGTCAGAGTCTGTAAGATGATTTAAAAAAAACATCAAACAGCCATCTTCCAAGCTGCTCTGCCGCTAGAAATAAGTTTTGAACTTTTTCCGCTCTCCTTTCCTCCTTCGCAGCAGGTGCTTTCATGTCCACAGCTGACAAATAATATTGAAATAATGTGAAACTGACAAAAACATTATTTGAACTATAATTCCAAAACATCTCAAGTATACCTCCTTTGTACAAATTAAGATTGTTTTCACACTGAAAAAGGTGACATACTGATTGGTCAAAATAGTCAAAGTTCAGGTTTTTTTAACCTTGTTTTAAGTAATTTTGTCTTTTGAAAAACTGGCTTCAGCCAGGGCGCGCGTGTCCCACATGCAACTGTGTTGTACTGAGTGAAATGACTGAAAAGGAACCCCTCAGCTACTTGAAAAAAAATACATTTTTTAACTTAAATTTTCATAAAACCTAAGTAAAATAATCTTATCAGGAAGAAAAAAATTGTATAGGTCTTCTGGACGGGTTCTTCTCTAATGAAACGTTTCGTCTCTCCTCCAAGAGACTTCTTCAGTCTGAGAGGTTTTGACTGCTTTTCGGCCCTCATACAC